ATGATAGATAGATAGATAGATAGATAGATAGATAGATAGATAGATAGATAGATAGATAGATAGATAGATAGATAGATAGATAGATAGATAGATAGTTAGTTTATCATATTTATTTTACCATCTTAGTTCCAACAAATTATATATTTTCGTGCATAATTTAAAATTAACTTTTTTTCTTTAATACAGACTTGTGTCCTGTCCAGGTTAACCCCGCCCCTCGCACTGTGACTGCTGGATATGGGCACCAGTGACCCTCGTGACCCTAGAAAAGGAATAAACGGGTATAGATAATGGATGGACGGATGTTTTTTTTAAATATACTTTTTTGTTTTTATTTTTATTTGTAGATCATGCATGTACATGTTAATAACTAGTCTTTTTATTTCCAAGTGTTACTTTAACATTTCTCTGTCTCCTGTTTTTATTTTACCTTGTGCATTTCTGATTCATTATGTAAATAAGGTGGGCGGTCCTTCCTGGGTCAGCTCCTCTCCCATTGGTCAACAGACAGGAAAGAGAAGGATCCATGTGCAGATCTAGGCCCTGTTCCAATACTCACACTCCCACATTTGTGCACTTCAAATGTGTGTTCATGTTGCAGGGTTTGGGTGCGTAGTGTGTCCCGCATTCTCCACATATGCCCTTCGCCCCGCCCATTTTAGGTTCTATGTCTGCATCTAAAATTTCTGCCAATGGAGTAAGAAAATTTTACTTGGTAAGATTCTTGAAATACTTGATTTGACTCAATTTTTTCTTATTTCAAGAATCTTACCAAGTAAAACTTCTTACTCCACTGGCAGAAATGTTTGACTTAATTTGAGTCAAATTTTCAGACTAACAAAACAAATAATCTTACACATTCTGAAAACAAGATTATTTTTCTTACACAATCAGTTCTTGTTTTTAGTAAATCAGTCTTAAAACAAGATCAAAAAGACTTTTTGGCCGATATAAGATTTTAAAACTTGGTAAGATGGACAGTTTACATCAGATATTTAATTGTTTAAGAATAGACACAAATGCTTTTTTTGTCATTGAATCGACACACATGCTAACACGTAGCGCCCATGTTTACATCTGTAAACATCGAGCTGAATGTGACGTCACGTCTTCTGCTCATGCAGGTTGCATCAATGCTATGGAGAGTTCATACTGGAGTGTGATGGAGGTTGGTTTAAAAATATAATGTGAAAGTTCACACAAAGAAATGTTATTTGAGCATTAAGACATGCAGTGTGACCGTAGCCTTAGACTGTCTGAATTGTGTCATCAAACCACAGAACCGTTTGCTTCTGGAGGAACAACAGTGTTAGTGTTCCTATTTTAATGGAAATTGTTAAGCCCACTGCGGTCTGAATCCTTCTGTCATAAACCTAATTAATATTAGTTTAATCCAGCTGTTATTCAGGAATTTTATCCTGACAGAATACAGTCTTTCTGAGGAGTTCAGACCAGCTGAGCTTACCTACTGACTCAAGTCTAATAAAAGTCTCAAATCACCTTTTTCCTAGTGTTACAATCCCGGATGAGCCCCCATATATGTTAGCCAACACGACCGAGCTCCCTATATTATTTAGGAACAGACGAGCCCCCATATATGTTACGTTATACTGTTCAAATCCCGGACGAGCCCCCATATACAGTATGTTACGACCCGGCTCAAGAGCCATAACATATGTGAAGATACGACACAGTGGAACCAGTTTAAAACCTTAAAAGGTATTTATTAAAGTTTTGTCTAGGATTAGGTGAGTTTGTTGGTCCGGTTTGGTGCTCCATAGCTCCCAAATGCACCGGACGTTTCTCACCAAGCTGGACCCTCTGAAGACCGTGGTCCAGGTTTACGTTCCACCTGTTACGAGCAAGTCTGTGGTCTGGTTTCCTCGACCACCCGTGTCCTCCATGCACCTCCGCGTCCGCGTTTCAGTGTCCTCTCTCTAGCTCCGGAAACCCCGACTCGGCATCCGCAAGTCAGCAGGATGTCTCTCCTCTCCCGGCAGCAGGGAGGAAGCAGCAGGTCTGGGCACCAGCGCCCAGTGAAGTGGTCGATCGTCAGCTTCACGTGAATGTGCCAATATCCCCACGTCGTCAGCAACAGAGGTCGACGTGCGTGAGGCATGCCGTATGAGAGCAGCAGCAGTAGACCGACAGCACAAGCCACCATCAGCCACAGAACGACTACAAGACGCAGAGCGCTGAGCGATTAACCTCAGAGCCCTTGCCAGCCACACAGCGCTTCTCAACACTCCAGGTGCGCGCTTCAAAAAGGTACAGGCCACGCCCCTTAAGGATGACCTGGTGAGGAAGCACAATTAAGCAAATCGGCGGCAGCTGGTTGCAATTAACTAAGCAGCAGGGCCATCACACCTAGGTAGGATTTAGCCCAATTTATTAGACAAGTAGGATTTTGACAAGCATAAAACAGCCTGTTTGGATTGAATAAATGCTGTCGTTCATCAGTCATCCAGGGCCCAGACTTACAAAGGCCTGAAGAACCAAAGATCCCCCGTTCACCTGAGGATCTTCTTTCTTCTCCTCCTGCTCACCCCACACTCCTTTCTGTCAAAGGCTAATGAAACCGTAAGCGCGGGGGGGGGGGGGGGGGGGGGGTGCGCGCAAACTTTAGCAAACTGAGACCCTACAAAGTCCCAGTTCACATTAAGTTTAAAATCACAAATTTAGACAGGAGTAAATTATAAGGTATCTAGATGTTCTCTTTTCTCCTGCTAAAGAACTTTATGGCTTCACTGAGATGGTGGGAAATAGACAGGTCGTTGAATTACGAGAAGGGGTTATCTGCGGAATCAAAGTAGGTGTGTCACAAGAGTGGGCGTGTCTAAACCATAAACACGGTGGGCTACGAGGCCTACATGACTGTATCCTTAGACCCTGTTTGACCTCTATAAAGCCTGACACTGACCCCAACACTAAGGTTAACCAGGAGAAATGTGACCCAAGTAGGGTTCTCCAGAAAAAGTGGTGCCGTACGATATCGCCCCTTTTTTGCTTGTCCAGTCAGGTGTGTCCCTTTAACAAAGTCCGTCAAATCGGGTGTGTCGCTTTAGAATCGCCTTTCCTTGTGACACGCCCACTCGTCCGCAGAGACCCCTACTTGTGAATTACAGCCTCCTGTGGGCTAACAGACGAGGTAGTTAAAGGAGGGTTCTGGCTTAGAGATGGGCCCCAGTAAGATACAGGCTGACCTTTGACTCCAGCTATAGGGTTAGACCAGCCAGGAGGGTAGACCAGGAGACTTTGTGAGGGGGTCTGTGGGAGCTGATAACAAAAACTCCTGGTGTAGTAACCCTCAGTAGGAGCTGATGTTGATGCAGGTGTCTGGACATTATCCTGTGAGTTGGGGGGTGGAGGAAGAGGTCTTTGGTTCTGGTGCTGGATGGCTTCAGAAGAGGCGAGGATCATCTGTCTGCCTTCATGATGAGTAGTTGCTGGCTCTGTCCCCAATTTTGCATATTCCGCTCTCTCAACAGATATATTTATTTTTTAGTGAAAAAAAATTACTGTGGTTGTGAAATGTTAAAAAGGTCTCATGAATGAGACCCTCTCATGATTGATGTCTTTCTCTGACCAATCAATGACCTACAGTCTGCTGACATCAGAACCTCAGCTCGACTCTGCTGGAACCTCATCTGGGTAGGTTTCAAGAACCAAGCTGGGAGCCAGTGACATCACCCGATGGAAAGACTGAATCTGTGCTGAGTCAACCTGAGTCAAACCCTTAGGAGG